AATAAAGACAGGGATGCATCCATCCTCTTTAAGTGTTACAACCTTTCACATAAAGATACCTTTTCAATTTGAAGGTTATCTTTTATATGCTGATGCACTTATATCAATAGTTATTTCTATTGTTAATAAGTGCTCAGATATGTGAGAAAACATATCACAAATAGATGCAATGGTTTGAGACATTTTCAGATCACTAAAACACACAAAAACACATTTTCCGTTAATAATTTGCGCTGCAGCGCGCAGGCTTAGCAAAACAGACCCGAGAGGTCTGTTTTGTGCAGGCTGCAGCGCCCAAGCGCGCTGCAGCGCGTGCTTGCGTCAGCCCACTCTTCCCGAATGTGTTTTAATCTAATTTTGTGATATTAAAATTGAGAGATATATTACAATCTCTCTAACATAGAGTATTAAGGCACTTGGAGTACTATTTGTCAATAAATATTAGATTTTCTATAGAGAAAAAAAGAACCATAGATAGTAGATTGCTTTGAGCTGTCCTATTAATTATGCATATTGGTCGGAGTATACTCTTGTTTTGATTCGCAACATCAGATATAAATCTTTACCAAGTGCGCCCAATAAGTACGGAAATATTTACACTTTATTCTACTACTAATTATTGTCAAACTCCTTTTAATTTCTTTATTTTTTAGGTAGACTGAAAGTATCTAAAATTAGATAGAATCTATCATAAAAAGAAATCCAACCATATAATGTCTTTCTATCCAGTTCTTTTTTTAATTCAATCACATATTTACAGGACGTTTAAATTATGTCAGAGGACATATTTACAGTTTTATATGTTAGTTTTTAATTAATTGAAAAATGATGATAACTCGTAATAAATTTCACTTTTTTTCTAGCAACCATTATCTGGGAGCTCTCTTTTCACTTTCTTTATATGTGTTTTCTTCCAAAAATATACATACATATATATATATATATAATAATAAAATACATATGCATGACACTACAAGAAAAAGGCTATTAGCGACGAAAAAAAGTCGTTTCCGTCCTTTTTTGGAAAAAATTAAATCCTCAGTTATTTGTGACGACACATGTCGTCACAAAAAACAGTTGTCCTTGATAAAATTTTCTGGAACCCTTTTTTCTGACGACACGTGTCGTCGCAAAAAAATCGTTCTGAAAAAAATTTTCTGGAACCATTTTTTGTGACAACGTTTTGCATAGTTGTCGCAAAAAATAAAGAAATATCTGAACCTATTCGCGGGAAACCTTCAAATTTCCCGCCTCTTTTTGGCCACGTCACTGCCAGCTGCAACCATTAATATTTGCGACAACATGTCTCCGCAAATAATGTACAAACTGGCGCCAAAATTGTTGGTGCTAGATTGGTTTTGGCGCCAATGGGTATTAGCGACGACATATCGTCGCTAATATGCCGTCCCATTTTAGCGACGACATGTCGTCGTAATTATACAAATTTTGTGCAACGACTTGTCGTCGCAAATATTTACTGTGACGACAAGTCGTTCAAAAATTTTGTTTTCTTTTAAGCGACGACATGTCGTCACTAATACTGTAATTTTAACAACGATAAATGTCTCGTCACTAATAACCCTTTTTGTTGTAGTGTGGACACACATACATATGTGTGTATATACACATATTTTGATGGGTTTAATTATTATTGTTATTATTATTTTGTAAATTTTGTTGCAGAATACTTATAACCATGCTATTACAAGAGACGAGGGGAATCATAATATGACATGGGCACCGGCGGCAATAATTGCTGCAGACAAAGTGAGTTTTTATAGCTGTGGCTTCCTTTGCCTGCAAGACACCTTGTTTGACGCCCGAGGCCGTCACTATTTTCGTTCCTGCTACATTGAAGGTGCCGTCGACTTCATCTGGGGCAATGGCCAGTCATTTTTTCAGGTATACCTTATTCTTATTATAAAAGAAAAAAAATCTAAACCGTTAAATTTCTGTCAAATCATTTTTTTTTTTTGCTTGAATTCTATCAAATCCTATTAAATTTACATAATAATTGATTAGGGTATGGTTAGAGTCGTTTAGAAAAAAACTATGCACTATGGCAAATAGGAATTTCCATGAGACTACTACACGTATTCGTTAGTATAAGCTGTTCAGAATTTTGGTAATAATATTTAAAAAAAAAAAAAAAAAAAACCGAACAAGGACATACTAGATTTAAAGTGGTTTACTACTTTTGTGGACTGTATCCACCTTCAACTACTGCTGAATTTCATTACTATGATGTGTAGAAGCCGTATGTTGACTATGGATCAGAGTAACAAATTAGGGTCCACACGCTTAATATAGGCTTGATAAAACCACAAAACATATAGAAATCAATATCGTGTATTATTTACAGGCATGCTATACAAAGGTGACAGCCTCAGTGCTGGGCCAGGGCGGAACTGCTTATATCACAGCACAAGGCCGAGAAAGCGAGAGCGAGAGCACTGGTTTTGTGTTCCATTCAAGCGCTATTATTGGGACAGGACCTGCTTTTCTAGGCAGGGCATACAGAAACCATTCTAGAGTCGTTTATTACAATACACATATGGAAAATATCATTGCCCCTCTGGGTTGGGATGCATGGTTTAATGTTGGTCATGAGTAAGATTCTTATCTTAATTCTCCTATTAATGCTACAGGGTACTAATAAGCACCATCTATTCGTAGAATGCAGGTCTCGCAGTATATAGGGCTCACAAGTAGAACTCATCTTCTACTAATTGTAGTGTTTAGTTTCTTATTTATTTTAAACACAATTTAATTTTGCTTGCATAGGCTCATTCATGAGTGGAGTCTATTAATGTGCCACGGTTGAAGGTCTTGGGGTCATTTGTTCGTGATTTTTGTTTGTTCTATTTATCTACGCGTTTATCAAGGAATTATTAGTCGCATATATATGATTTTGCAGAGGTTTACTCACTTTTGCGGAGGTGAAGTGTTATGGAGCTGGCGCAAACACGTCCGCACGAGTGAAGTGGGAGAAGCAATTGCCAATTCAAGAATTGAGAAAGTTGATACATGTCAATCACTTCCTAAACCAAGATGGGTGGATAGAGAAGCAACCACCAAGCTAGGTCCATGTATAAGTACGTATATGAGGGCTGGCTTTTTATTTGTATGTCAGAATATTGTTAAGGACGTACGTACGTCCGTTTATGGTAAATTTTATTTTAAGGGTTTCTTCTTAAGGTTAATGGAAAACAAAATATTTGTGCTTTTGTTATTATGGTTGGTACCATTTAGCTAATTTGTTATATACCCAGGAAAACATTTGAAAAAATGAATGCTATATTTTATTTTTATTAAAATCTATTCTCGCAAAACTGGCCGTGCAATCTTCCCTTCCCTTCCCTTCTAGAAGCAAACTTTTTTAAGTCTTTTAGAGGCAAATTTAATGTGTACACAAATATAAAGTCAACGCATGATATGTGATTGGACTAATTTATTATCTAATCTAATTAAGCTTGGTTCTCTCTGTCACGACCCAAAACCGGGCCAGTGACAATTTTGAGAAGTTTTTGGAATTGAGGGCACATAGATATGATAATTTTGAAAATAAAGCCTCTAATTTCAATCTGACCCATAAGACCCATAATGATATGTCCACCTGTTAAACATAGATATAAAATTCATAATACTAAAAAGAAGTGTTCATCATGCATCACTTATTTAGCATCCCGTAATATTTTGTACAACTCAATACACATTGAAGTTCTTAATCCAAGTCTATCCTTGTACATATCCAATTATTTAAAAAAACTACCAGGAATCGATAACCTTTCTTAGAAATATTATCAAGGAAATCAATTGCCAAAATCCCCATATATCTAGGCATTGTTCATTTCACCGATTCGAGTTTTTAATTTTAAGTTTCTACAGTTTAAAGTTATCAGAAAATGTCACATCTAACTTTTTTTGCTACAGTTAAAAACTCTAAAAAAATATCACATCTCAACTTGAATTGAAAACTCAAATCCGCAAAGTGAACTAAGACCTAGCCACTCTGTCCATCTAACTTGCACCTTACAGCACTTGAGGGAGGAAGGAGCTCAGTAAAAATACCGACTACGCGATTTAAAATCAACAAAATAAAACTAAAGAGAGAAGCATTAAAATAAGAAAAATGTTGCATTAACAATTGCTTTTCAAAAATTCAATAACAATAATATTAATAATAAAGCAATAATATATATATATATATATATAAAAGAATCTATAACAACTGAGAGTAATCTCACTTTTAAAATAACGTACGAACTTACCATGACAAAAATATAACAAATGATAACAATTCAATTCTTGAAATATTATAAAAACACACCAAAACTAAAATATCATTTACTGATCAGTTAAATCATCAAACACTCATCACTATAAAATGTCAGTATCGCTCCTATTTGTTAGTAATGGACGTGAAACAAAATAAGAGAAAAGAGTATGTTGTGCCCTAAATGAGGACCTCGTGAAAGAGTCTGCGTGCCAATTTTAGAACCCATTAAATAGTCCTCGAAGAGTAAGATATAGATAGCGGTACTAATATAACAAACAATACTGTTGTGCCCAACAAATGAGCACCCCATTCATAGTGGTGTCAAATGGGCCGGGCCGTCCATAGACGGCCTTGCCCAGCCGTAATAGTGCCAGATTCGGCACGGCCCGGTACGGTACTGTTACGAGCCTTGCTGGCCCGGCACGTTTGATGGGTTAGGGTTGGGTCTCAGCTTCTCAGCCTGCAGCCGAAGCCCGGCCCTAGCCCGTGAAGACCCGCGGCCCAGCTCAAGCCCAGTTCGGCCCAAGCCCGGATTCGGCCCTTGTTCGGCCCGGCCCAGGCCTGCGAAACTGCCCGCAAAAACATCCCCCAGCCCGCGAGGATTGTGACCGTTGGTCCCTTCGCGGGCCCAACGGTCATAATCTAAAAAAACCCCCAAGAATCCCCTATAAACACCCCTTAATTCCACCATAAATCCCACACAACAATTTACTCTCAACTTCTCATCTCACTCTCATTCTATCTCTCATCTTGTCCCTTTGATTTTGATTCTATGTTTTTTTTCTCGCGATCACCCATTTTCTTGCTATTTCATTTATAAAGTTTAAGTTTAATCAATTTTCAAAAAATGGTCGCATCAAACTTCCTTGATTTCACTACTCTTTTGGAGCTTGGAGATGAGCCATTTTTCGAGGATGAAATGATGCCTCCCAACCCCACCCCCACTAAACCTTCAGTACACAACGAGGAAGTTGGAGAACGCACCAGGGAAAAAAGACCGCAAACTTCTCCTGCATGGCAGCATTTCACAGAGGAGCCCCGACCAAATCCAAATACAGGTGAAATGAAAATTAGGGCGGTATGTAAGTATTGTAAAAAATACTTTTCTAATAAAAAGGGTGTGGGTACTTGTCATCTAGATAGACATTGGAAAATACATCTACCGTTGCACTAAGGTGGGAGTGTGGACTCCCGCCAACAAACACTATCACTCACATCACAAGGGTTATAAAATTTCACATACGATGCACAACATGCTCGTAATGCACTAGCTAAACTTCTAGCTAGTGCCGAATTACCTCTTTCTTTTACAGATGATGCGTCGTTCAAAGAATTCATACAGACGGTCTTCTTCCCATAATTTAAATGGGTAAGTAGAAACACAACTCGTTCTGATTGCATGAAAGTATTTTATGCAATGAGACAATCTCTTGTTGATAATTTTAGGACTTTTAATGCTACTGTATCTTGTACTTCTAATCTATGGGAGGGGGCAATAAAACTGGATATTTATGGTCTCAGCGCATTATGTTGATGATGAATGAGTTTCACAAGAAAGAATAATAGGTTTTTGTTTATGTCCTTATCCTCATAACGCATCAGCTATTTTTGGTACAATAATGGAAATATTTGAGTTTTATAGGATAGAAGATAAAGTTTTAACTATTACTCTTGATAATGTGTCAACTAACACGACTGCACTTAACCCGGGGGGGGGGGGGGGGGGAATTTCATTAACAGTGTGCGTGTCACATAATCAATTTAGTAGTTCGGGCAGGAATTGAACATATTTCAACTAATCTAACAAATATTAGAGAATCTTTATCCTTCATATCTAGTTTTGGAGCTCAGCTCTAAGAATTCAAATAATATTGCAGGAACAGTCAGATGCGCCCAAGAAAGTTCTCAATTGACGTGAGACATAGGTGAAATTCCACCTATTTAATGTTGAAGGCCGCACTCCTGTATTCACAGCTCATCACAACGTATGTAAACAGTAAGAACGATCAACTTTTAATTTTTTGATACAGATTGGTAGATTGGTGAGTATTTTTTTAAATTTCTAGAAGTTTTTTACAATGCTACTGAATTACTTTCCGGAGTTTATTATCCTACTGTACATTTAGCTTTACATCAACTATTTAATATTTCAGAAACATTTTCTTATTATAGGGATACAGTTCACGGCGTAAAGGATCGTCATGGAGTTTCTTGAAAAAGAAAGAGAAAACGGCAGAATCGTCATCAACACAAGCGTCTACCGAATTGGTAAAATATTTTGAAGTAAATTTTGTAATCAATGACGACAAACTAGACATCTTACAGTGGTGGAAGAGCAAGACCAATCGTTTTCTAACACTATCCGTAATAGCTCGTGACATTATGACAACTCCAGTGTCAACAATAGCATCGGAGCAAGCATTTAGTGCAAGCAACCGAATTCTTGACGAGAAGAGAAGTAGAATGCATCCAGATATCTTGGAGGAGCTAATGTATGTTAAAGACTGGGAAGATGCTAGAAGACGAAAACAACAATACATGGACGATTCAATGCAAGACTATTTTTCTAACTTAGAAATAACATAATCTTCTGGAAGCATTTAAGTTTTGTAATTTCCTATTCCTAGAATATTGTACTCTTTTTTCCTTCGCTAAGAGTTTTTCCCGATCTCCCCACGGTTTTACTTGGCAAGGTTTTTAACGAGGTAGCCATTTATGTGTACTTATTCGTATTATCTCAATTTAATAAAATCACATATTTTTAGGGCATATGATATATTTTCTTTTTTTTAATTAAATTTTAGAAAAAAAATTACAAGGGCTAGGGCCGGCCCGTGAAGGGCCTGGGCCCAGGCCCGGCCCTTATGGACTAGGGTCGCGGGCCTAGACCGGGCCTGAGTCTTTCTCTTTAGGCCCGGCCCTAGCACGACCCTGCATTGTGTAGGGCCGTGTCAGGCCCGGCCCAGGCCCACAACAGGCCTGTGGTCGGACATGCCATGCCGGCCCGGCATGACACGTTTGACATCTCTACCCCTTCAGAGTCCATATATTTATAGTAGTACCATGATAGTAAATGTCCGTTGTGCCCAACAAATGAGCACCCCGTTGAATGGCAATAGGCTTCGAGTAATTTAACAAATGGCCATAAAACTGTCTGATGGCAACACACAAGGTCATTTCTTTCATTTGATGTACTTGAGCAAGCAACAATCCAATTCCCTCTTTAAACCCTCAAAGTTGGCGCCCTCACTAGTTAGTTTGCTTCTAACAATAATTCTACAACATAATGACTTAATGTTTATGAAACCAAGAATACAAACCTGTGAAAAATGAATTTAAAGATATTGTCGCTCGCCATAGCTGCAATACACACGGGAAATTTGCAAAAATGATTATTCAACAAAGTGAAATTAGCAAAATGACATTCTTCATTTTTTTATGAAGAAAAACCATCCTGTCGTTCTTTGTAAAAAGGAGTCATTTATGGTCGTTCCGTCATCATTTTACAAATAACTACATCAACAATAATAATATCCAAATTAATTTCTCAATGCAAATAACCATATAACCTTCAAAATATAAAAAAACATAAACTATTTAATAGGAAATTAAAGAGTTTAAGGTCTCTTTCATTTCACCGATTTTAGTTTTCAACTTCAATTTTGTTAAAGTCTCTCACAAAAAGTCACATTTAATTGTTTCTGCTTCAATAAGGCGTCATTCATTTCACTGATTTGAGTTTAGAATTCGAGTTTTGCTACAGTAAAAAAACTCTCAGAAATAGTCACATCAAACTTTTTTTGTTACAGTAAAAAACTCTCACATAAAGTCACATCTTAACTCGAATTAAAAATTCAAATCAACGAACTAAACGGGCCCTAAAAAGCTCTCACATAAAATCACATCTCAACTCAAATTGAAAATCTGAACTCGTTTATTTCACTGATTCGAGTTTTCAATTTCAATTTTACTAATGTTAAAAGCTCT